TTTAGTAAATTATGTTGACCTTTGATATCTGTTGAATAATGTTGACTTCATGTGACTTGCCTCTCGTTTCAGGTTCCGGTATTACCTAACCCTGGATTATTAACACGGGGTGGTCGAGGCGGCATGTCTTCCAGATCCAGCGTGCAGACCAAACCAACTTCTCCTCTTCCATTTCGAAGGTACACCCTGAAGTGGTATTGTGTCGTGGTAATTACGTTATGGGTGTAACTTTAATCGCTGTGTCAGTAAATTGCTTCGGCAACTTTTTTTGTTTCGTTCTTTTTAAAGTAAGAGCTTCACAGTGGATGATGAAAACAAAGACAAAGACAAGGGAAAGGACAAAGATAAACCCAAGTGAGTTTTTTTTCTAGCGGGCTTCTTCTTAAGTAACACATTGTGGTGAACCTTTGATTCGATGGGGCAAAGTTGTGTTCTTCAAGGGAAGTCAAAGCTTTAATAGAAGGAAATCTTAGTACCACTTTAATATACAAATTGCAGCCTGGTCAGACTTTTGACATTCTGCTTATTACTTTCTTAGTTCGAGTGTGTCACCGGATGCGTCTGGAGATGACGAAGATTATGATGAAGGGGGTAAGTGTACAATCAGTCAGTGAGAAAGTTGTTCAGTTTGTTGGTCAGTGAGTAAGTGAGTGAGTCAGGATGAGTCAATCAGTTACTTAGTCAATGAGTCAGTCAGGCAGGAAGTCAACAGTGTCTCAGTCAATGAGTCAGTCAGGCAGTAGGTCAACAGTGAGTCAGTCATTGAGTCAGTCAGGCAGGAAGTCAACAGTGAGTCAGTCAATGAGTCAGTCAGGCAATAAGTCAAGAGTGAGTCAGTCAGGGAGTCAGTCAACAGTGAGTCAGTCAATGAGTCGGTCAGGCAGTAAGTCAACAGTGTCTCAGTCAGTGAGTCAGTCAGGCAGTAAGTCAACAGTGAGTCAATTAATGAGTCAATCAGTCAGTCATTCAGTCAAATGAAAAAAGTGGGTAAGTTTCTAAAGAAACTGTTGTGCTGCGTCGATGGGAGAGTATAACAAGGTATTTTAGTGGTATTAACTGAGTTGATAATGTAAATTGGCCACCTAAAGAGTTCACGTTTCGAGCGTTTCGAAGGTGAAGAGCTAACGCTCGAAACGTTAACCTTTAAAACTCTTTATGGTGGCTAATTTACGTTATCAACTCAGTCGATAACACTGAATTACCCAGTCATTCAGTCAGTCAGCCAGTGAGGACGCCAGGCTAAGTCAATCAGTGATTGAGTCAATGAGTCAACGAGTCATTCAATCCCCTAGAGAGTGAATGATTGAGTGAATCAGTCAGTGACTCAGTTAGTCATTGAGTCAATCAGTCGTTTGTTCGTTTGTCAGAAAGCAGGGGTTTGAATTATGGCTAAACTGTGGAATCCCCACCCCCCATGGCTATCATTGAATGGCAACAAAGAATCACAGTAGGATAAAGTAGATAGATAGAAAATTCTAGAGAGTTTTCTTTCTGTGTGGCGTCAAAGCTTTATAGCTGCACCTTTCACTGCACTCATCTAGTTTTCGTGAATTATTTCCGCTGTTACCTGATGCTTCTGTTATTAAAATCTAAGTCTATGTTATTACCATCTAACGTTTTACACTTTCTTTTTGTTCTACATTATAGAAATGGACGATGAGGTAAGCTTTCATTAGCTCTTTAGATATTTCGAGACATCGTGCTATTGTAGTCTTCATTCAAAACATCAGTGAATAGAAATGAAAGTTGTATCACCAAACATTCTTGAATGTTTACATGTGTGGTTTCTTTCTACTCGTAACTGATCGCCAACTTACTCATTTGAGCCTGAATTTTGTTCATTCAGCATCCAGGCGATCCTGATCTTGACATTAAACCTGAACCAGAAGCTTGGAGCGTTAGCATCGACAAGAAGGTGAAGTTATCGAGTACCTCTTGTTTCTGTTTTACTGTAATTGTTCGATCGCTCCTAGCTGCAATCTCTTGCGATAATTTGAAAACAGTCACCTGTTGTGATCCGGGTATCGTTTGAGATCTCGGCAAGTGAGATACTTCCGGCAACAGAATATTCTCTATCGCATTCCGCGCAGGATATCTGTGACAGTCAGTCATTATATGAAAAAGATAGTTTGGTTTTACAAACTGAGTTTATAATGTGAATTAGCCACTAGTTTTTAGAGCTGACGTTTCGTTAGAGCGAAACCAGACTTTGCCCTAGTTCCCGGAAGTGATCGCTACATAAACCCCCCCCTTCAAATTTAATAAACTGTCAGTCATTTAAATGACAAGAACTAGGAAGATTGTTGTATATTGACAACATCAAACTCCTTAGACTAGCCTGCTAAGTACTATGTTATCTTAAGTTGGAACTCGACAGTGCAAACTAGAGAGCTTGTAAACAGTCGCCTTACGTTGTTTCCATTTCATTCATGTCTTCAGATTCTCAAAAGGATGACAGCAAAAGATATTAAGAGACAAGATGTGATTCATGGTGAGACGGATGTTTCTTGGCCTGCGAGCAGAACCCTATTGTTTAGGTTGCAGGACGTGCGTTTCTCTGCCCGCGGGAAGATTCGAGACGAGTCGCGGTAGAGGTTTGCCAGGGGTCTGGCGCTAATATCAGTACCAGACCCCTTGTAGACCTCGCCGGCTCGCGTTGCTCATGCTTCATACTTTCCCGCGGGCGAAGAAACTCTCCTGCCGAAGCGATAATAATGAAGGCTTGCTCGCAAGGTGAATGTATCTTTAAAAGTTGTTGTTTCCTGGGCAAAGTGAAACTCTGGGGGTGATGTGCGGCAGACTTGTTTTACAGTAATTTACCTTGTATTATTTTTGGTTTCTTTTAGAATTAATACAAACTGAAGTCCATCATGTGAGGACTCTAAAAATTATGCAGAAGGTAAGAACTAAAGAGCTGATTAATCTCTCTGACGGGCAAATTTTTCATATTATAGAGCAGTTTACAACCAGGTGTCGGAAAACCAAAACTCAAGTAAATGTAATCACAACTACCAATCAGAGCATACGGTAACATCATCATTAACAAATTGGAACTCAAAGTAAACACGGGCAACCTGTTTGAAGCGCGGGAAAACGCGGGTGACCCAGTCGGGATTGGTTTTAGTTTTGCATTTGATTGGTTGAGAGGTTTGCGCGAGTATTCTGGACCAATCACAAAGCAGAACCAAAGCAAGCCGGGATCACTTCCGTTGCTCAACTGAAAACTATTCTATCACCTGAACGTGTTAACTTTTAACTTTCTTACTCGATCTTTTGCAATCCTTTTCTATTCCGACTATTCTTAAAAATCAATCTGTATTGCCTCTATTCTACTTAATGAAATCAAAAGCTGGAGTTTTTAAATGTGTTATTTTTTTTTATGTTTTTTCTTGTTTGCAGATATTTTATAAGGGAATGTTAGATTATCTGTCGCAAGATACTGCTTATCAGATATTACCGAGACTCGATGACTTGCTTCAGATAAATGGTGAGTCACCACAATTTAAACAAATACTGTTCAACTCAAAAGCGAGGATACGTTAGAAGGCGTTTTTGGTCGATTGTTTTAATCAATCTTGATTTGTGTCATTGCTATTCACATAGGCGACTTTTTAAATCGACTGAGGGCAAGTGAAGACCGCGAAACTATAGTTAACAGTATTGGAGATATCTTGGAAGAACAGGTAAGAAAACGGGGAAAAATGCAAAATGTACCCGCGGAATATGTATTAATTGCAGTCTTCTCGTTGCATAACAGTTTAGTGGAGAAAACGGTGAAAAAATGAAGAGTGCGTATGGTGAGTTCTGCAGTAATCACATGGAGGCTGTTGAGCTTTATAAGGTAAAAATACCGATATGACGCCGTGCCTTCTCGTGTAACAACTAAAATGTTCAATTTTCGTTTGGTACGAAAGAAAACATCTGCTTTTTGATAAGAGAAGTTGCGATTTTCTTTTTTATGCAGAAATTACTAAGAACGGATAAAAAGTTTGCGGTTTTTATCAAGGTATGTATCGGTAGCTTAACGAGTAAGTGTAAAGTACGTTGGAATTGAAGTAGAACTTGTTAAAATACGCATTTCTAGAGAATGCTTCAAAACGTTATTCATCATCCTTTGGAGCAATTTTCAAGCGAGTGTCGAAAGTAATGCGAGATTACTTGGCTTTTGTTTTAATTTGTCCTGTGATTGGCCAGAAACTCGGGCGATCCACTCAACCAATCAGAAACAAAACGAAAACCGATCGCGATTTGGTTATCCGCGTCTTCCCGCGCTTTTTGCTGTTAAGCTGGTTTTACTTTGAATTCTCATTGGCAAATAAGGAAGTGAATCATCGTTTTGACTGCACGTTGTGATTTCGTTAGTTTTGGTTTTTCAACACTCGATTTAAGACTGCGCTATTTCCACTTTATTACTAATAAGGTGGACATAGGGCAGACGGTAAACAGTTTCCTTTGAAAGGTAACTGTTTACCGTCTACATAAAAATTAGTAACGATTATCAGTTTACACTCTAATCTCCAATATTATGGCCCAGTTACCTAGTGTACTTGTCTATTCAAGGTGTAATGTTCACTGAATTACAAAACTGAGTTATTACTACCTTCATCTATTTTTAAAATGTGTTTCTTTTGACTAATTAGTGTCATGAGTATAATTCCCAAGCCACACTTGCCCGCATCGCGGACCTACAATTTTTTTGTATTTTGAGCAGAAATGCAACGCAAACAAGTACTGTCGACGGCTGTCAATCCCAGAATGTATCACGCTTGTCACTCAGAGGCTTACCAAATATCCTATGCTCATCGAAGCTATCGTGAAAACTACTAAGGGTATGTTATTACCCTTTACACCCTAACATCATTATGTATACTCTCCACTCTGTTCCCTATTTAGGTCTTAAGGTGCTGGAAAAGAGAATTTGTTTAACAATCAATAGCTTCTTTGGTTACAGATCCTTTTTCAAATTCTCATGACCTTAATGTTTGATTTAGGGGTGTTACTGTGAGTAAAAATTGGATGCTATATAAACTCTTACGTGTCAAATGGTGAAATTATTCCGCGGAGTACATTATATTTCGTCGTATGTATCCAACATGACCCAGTTTAATTACCCTTTTCGTGCTGTGCGCAGTTTTCTTCGCAGTCTTCTCCGCAGCCGTTGTTTGGCTTTGTCACGCAACAACCTATCCCTTGTATTGTGAGACGAATACTAAGAAGGGTTGTGAAGGAAAGTCTGATATGCGGAGTAAATTTTTGTTTCTTTAATGGTTTTTTTCTAAATTTTCTAATTTCTGGTCTTGGTTTTGCATCCGACTGATAGACAATTTGCAAAGAGGGTTCTTTTATGTCCATTTAGAGTCCTGTCTAGGCTATCATCCCATTTCAATTTAATGTTATCAATTTTGTTGCTGGTTTTTTTTTCTTTAGAGTCCAAACCGGATTTTAGCTCGCTTAAGAACTCCATCACTCTTATTAAGGTAAGGCCGCCTCATAATTCGCCTTGATGTTATTCGAAACATATGTGAACAAATAAGAACTATTTAATCGATCAAAACGAACGCCCGGTCGTAGTTTAGTTACAATTTGATTTGTTTGTTATTGCGTTTAGATGATATTACAAAGTGTCGATCAGACGATAAAGGATTACGAAAAACAGAAGGTATGTGATCAATGTACTGTGTAACATACGCTTACCCAATCTTATCCCCAGGCATTCTCTCTTGCTTCTTTTAATCGCGCGCGGTATGGTTTGTTGTGTGCAAGTCTCTTTCGGTGACGTCACCTCTCACAATGGGGTTCAGGTTTAACCGAGCCGAGAACACCAAGGGAGGGCACTTTGTGAAGCCTGCGCACACTGTTTGAAACAGCGTGTGTTAGTAGGGCGGGCTTGTAAAATGTGACTCTCCTGATAAGAAGAGTTGTGAGAAGGTCTGCTCCACCTGTCATTCAAAGTTGTGCCTTTCGACTCGACTAGCTCCAAAACTTAAAAAAATTAAAAGTTTAATGTTACTGATATGACAGTGGCGTGTAATACTGAAGTACGGTAACGATATTCAAATGTAGAATCATTCTCTATTGTAGTTACTTCAAGAAATGAAATTGAAGCTGGATTTGAAAGTAACTGTTAACTTCAAGAATGGAAAAGTTAAGGTAAAATGATGTCGATTCTCTCCAAAACGCTTACTTCTCATATGAAGTTCACCTTTGCAATAAATAACTGGATAGTCACCCATTACTTTTCCGCCACCAGTTTCGTGACGAATCACCACCCAGATAAAAATGCCACGCAATTAAAGTAGATCTCTCCCTTTGTAATGACTGCAAACTTAGTTGTAACCTGTGCCTATTCCAGGCATTCATTAAGTAAAACGGAGCGATAAGTAGACACTGCGATAGTAGGGGCGGGTTTGGGTCGGTTCTCTTTGTTTATTGTGTTTACTTGCTTATCTTTTGTGTTTCGCTCATGTTGATAAACGTATTTTGTAGAACATCGACTTCGCAGCAAACACAAGCAAACTGGTGCACGATGGTGTGTTAATGTGGAAAACAGCCAAGAACAAACTGAATGGTAAAGTGCTTACCCATTCTATGGACGTTGTACTCGATTAGCTCTTTCACTCCCACAAGTGACCAAGATAGAATTTCTCCTTACAATATTAATACAATACCTATCAGGTAGTTTGTGAGAATAAAGAAAAATATCAACTATGGGTCTATTAGTTTATCTAATACCAAATTCTCTGAACTAACGTCATAAGAATTGTATGGCAGACAGTAAGGAGAATTACCAATGAGATCTTGGGAGTGAAAGGTTTAATGGCATTCTTTTGCACAAATGCATAGACATTACAACTAGAAAGGGGGCTTTTATGGAAAGTTTTTTAAGTGAATTACCTTATACTCAGGAACCTTCATTTTACCTGTCGTGAACAGTAACTTTTATCGAGGGTAGCACACTGTTTCTTTACTAAAAGTTCTACCAATCGTTGTCAACTTCGGTCTTTCGGTGTTTCCAAACGTTGGGTTTGATTGTTAGTTCACTTGACCTTGCAGAAACTCGAGTCCTTGTCATGGAAGACATGTTGGTTTTCCTCCAGGAGAAGGATCAGAAATACAGTTTGCTGTCATTAGATCAGAAGGTTAGGAGCCTGTTTGTGCCGTATGCAGTTTTCTTTCGTTATTTAAATCGAAATGGCTGTCAAGGTGGCTAAAATGATTTCGTGGTTTGTAAACACCACTTATGTAACGGATCGATTTCCTTCTCATGTTTGTTTCCGTGAAAATGTTATCATAAAATGCCGGAATATTTCTTTTAATAAGTTGTGCGACGGTTTCAACATATTAGGTTGCAACAGTAGTTCCTAAGTGTCTTTGAAACACTTTTAATTTAACTTTATGTGCCTGTTACTCAAAGACAAGCCTGGTGACCCCTAATTAGCATGTGATTTTCAACGTTTTCTCTGAAGGTTTATAGCCACCTCAGGCGAAGAATAAAAGTAGCTCTGAGCTTACGATAAATTGTTTTAGTTATCGATTCATCATATTATTGGTGTTGAAGATTATGAAACCACTTTCTCAACATCGTTTTTATTCTTTCGTTAAGGCCCCAGTTGTGAGGCTTAAAAAGCTCATTGTGCGGGAGGTCGCAACTGATAGAAAAGCCATCTTTCTTGTGAGCCCCAGCAGTCAAATACCAGAGATGTACGAAATAGTGTGTGAATCGGCTGCCGAAAAGAAACGGTGAGTGCCGAGCTTTCACTTTTCCTTGAAAATAGGTTAAGAGAATTTGTGGTCGCGTAAATGATACATACAGGTGAAAAGTGTGTTAATTCTTGTCACCTGTTTACGAGATGATGTCTCGAAACTGTGAAGATAATTTCTTTTTTGATCGTTTCTGATAGTTAGGCCCAGACTAGGTAACATCAGCTACATAACAACAGCGATGTAAAGAAAAGCTGCGATCTTTTGCTCCGTCGTTTTAAAACCTTACGCCCCTATATCAGTATGCATATTCTCCATTCTGTTCTCCATTCTGTTCTCCATTCTGTTCTCCATTCTGTTCTCCATACATTCCCTAACGTGCAGACAAGAACAATTTTTTTGATAATCAAAACCTTCTTTAGTTGATGATCATTTCCTCTATTCTCACGACCTTAATGTGTGATTCAGAGGTTATTTTGTGAGGAGAAATTAGATGTTAGTCACTCTTAGGGGTTAAAGGGTTAAACCTTCTTTATAAGAGGTTCTTTGTGTTTGGGTAATGTTGTCACTGTGTACTGTTGCTTGTGTGCGGGTTTGACTACATCAAGTCCTTTAGTTAACTAAAGAGATTGTTTGATATCCGCTAAATTGAGGAAAAAAGCAATGGTATGGGGAAAATCAAACAAACAGAAAAATGAACTAAAATCAGTTATTGCTTAGCTGAGCTTTTACATGAGCTCCATTGTTTTTGTGATACCATCATTTTCTGTCGCTGTTTCCTCCATCTGGCGATGTCTTGCATGAGTGCAGGGTTTATGTGTTAACGTATAACCTCTCCTGATTGTTTTTAGTTGGATGGAGATAATTCGCGATGCTGTGGCCAACGCCCCAGGAGATGAAAGTAAGTGACAGATTTTTATATTTAGACTGATTTATGCCAATCGGGGTTTACATTCATTTCTCGTTTGCCGGCTGTGCCAAGCATATCAGAGAGTCTGACAGAAGTAGTTAAGCTTGCTTACCCGATTTACTTCACTAAACTTCAGTGTGTATAAGCAAATAGTTTTGTTTTCAGTTTACCAACTGAGTGAATTTAATAGAAAACGTGGGTGATTACTCAATGAAACCTTTTTTTTTAACTTCCTGTAGATCTTGATGACTCTAGTCTCATCACCACAGCTGCAGGCGAACGAAGGAAGATTATATTACGTAGAGCCAGTGTACTTATTGGTTAGTATTCCTCTTTCTTCGTCGCTTTCAGTGTAATAATTTCCTTCAATCCGCATGGATCCTTTTTTTTCCTGTCCTTTCTTTGCTTTCTACATGTTGACATGTGGTATTCGTTTTGTAGATCAAGTACACAACAAGGACCTTGAGGACGCGGATAGAGGAAAACATTTAGCTGAGATGCAGGTCAGTGTCTGATACTCCCAGCAAAACAGGTGCTAATTGTTTTTTATTTAGGCAAGCGGAGGCAAAGCGCGAGGCGAAAGCGAGTGTAGCTTGCGAGCAAGTCCTTATTATCAGCACTGATGGCCGCGCGTTTCTCTGCTCGCGGGAATATTTGAAGCGAGTCAAGGAGAGGTTTGCCAGGGGTCTGGCACTAATAATTATCGGTACCAGACCCTTGAAGACCTCTTCCCGTTCACATTGCTCAAGGCCTCAGACCTTTGTGGGCTAGTTACGCTCAAGAGCACGGACGCTTACTCCTGCTCGCCTGACCAAGTCGAAATGGTTCGCTAGTTCTGAATGCAGATTCGCACGTAACTCATAAACACGTCTAAACGCTTATGGATGTGCTCAGACAACACAACTCTTTAGCTGCAATGGGATTGACTATCCGTTGTTTCATTTCTAGAAAAGATCGACATTGACGCATGTCCGCCTGCGAATTGTTTTCATAGCCTTGTGATATTTTTCCTTTTTCAGGAACTCGTCAGTCAAATAGAGGCTATGGAAAAAGAAAAGGTAATTACTGTAAAGAACGCAAAACTAGAGAAGTGCCATGATAAGCTCAAGGTCTTGTGTATTTTTTATCTTTTTTAACGCGTGTTCTCCTCTTTTCAGTCTAAAGTGGATGCCGATAAAAGCAAAGAACTGGCGAAGACGAAGTAAGTGGATTTACCCCGTTTTTTAACCCTGAAACCCCTAAGAGTGACTGAGTGATTTTTCTCCTGATTGTCATACAAATTCTCCTTGTCAGTATCCTAGGAATTGTGAAGAAGTCATTGTTGAGAATATAAAAGCTAATGTTAGGGTGCAATAAAATTGCACGAGCCCGTAGTGCTCGTTAACACCAAATTGCGCTCGAAATCATGTTATTTCATGTCACTCGTGTTACGTGAGAATGCAATCGTTTTCAGCAAATCAGAAGCGCGTAATTTTTCCTGTACATCATTATGCACATTCATTTATTGGCTTTGTTAGGGAAACAGTTTTATTGATGCCAGAACTCCTTTCTAGTGGGTTGGTTAACTTTTACTTCTAGCATGGTGATCTCATTTTGTTTTCAGGGAGTGCCTGATGACCACTATGCAACAGGTGCAATCTACATTATCCAGTGAGGATCCTTCATCTGAAGAGGCCCAAAGTGATACTCAAGGGAGCTCCTCGTCCTTATTTGTACCTGGAATTGGACCCAAGAGGGCCGAGACTTTTAGTGGCTTCGATAGCAAACTCAAACCCGATAATCTCAACAAAGACAACATCAATCGAGCGAGCTCTATGAGGACTGAGAGACCTGGGATGGGTTTCCCATCCAGGCAGTTGCCGGGTGCGGTCAGTCCAGCTGGTGGAGCTAGTCCAAAGATGAAACACAAGCGGCGGTCAAGCGGGGGAGGTGGAGGGTGGTCGTTCTTGAGCAAGAGCGGCGGAAAGGAGGACAAGGAACAGAGTGGAAGCACAGGTATGACAGGCTTCATGTGGCATACATTTAGCAGCACCAACAAACTCTATATTTCTTAAAAGGGAGAGGGTTTGGTGGTGCCTTGAATGACATTATAAATAACGGGTGCGGAGTAGACTCTGTCCCTTACCAGGACAAGCCCGGTAGCAAGTTAGTTTTTATAAACACAATCGATTCTCGTGACCGAGACAAAAAATGAAGTTTGAGTGATCAATTTCTTTTTTATCCATTTATCGTAATGATTATTTATTCTCACCATCTTTTCAGGTGATTTAGCTTCTGATTCGCCTTCCTCATCTCCAAGTCAAACTCCTACACCCTCGCCGCTGCCCGGGCAAGAGGTGACTTTGTAATTTATTTTTGTAGTTGAAAGGAAATGCTTTGGTTTCACGATATCATTTACACAAAAAAATTTATCGACCTTTGCCTTTGGTCTATCTGAATGTATAGAGCTATTTTAATGATCTTTACTTTAACTTTTTCAACAGCCTGACACCGCTACAGACATCGACGGGTAAGCTGGATTAACCCGCTTCTAGTAGTCAACTTTTACTTGGCCCATTCAACTGTGATAATAATTATTAGCGGAAGGATTCGTTACATTCCGTGATTCCCACCAAGGATAAGGATGACGTTGCTGTTATCGTCGAAGCATCGTTACTTGTGCAATATAAAGCACTGCTAATTTTAAATTACTAAAATGAAATGACCTCTAATAACTTAAATGTGATCTAGGCTTGTAGCATATCGTCCTACGCAGGAAACTGCGAACTCCCCATACGCCACTTAAGAGAAAATTAAGATATTTTTATGTGGCATGAGGCTCTTGTGTTAATGCTAAGCTATTTTTTTCTTGTCCTCTTTAGTGGAGTTAAGAGTGCGCGCTTTAGACCTGTAAAAGAACAAGGTGGCAATACGTCACCTCCGTTGCAGATCAAAGCTGACCATCAACAAGGCAGGCTCAAGCATAACCTCAGGGAACAAGTACAGCAACTATCGTCACCGCGCGCTCAGCGCCAGACCCGCCCATTTATTATTGACGAGGAGGACAAGGAACGAGAACAAAAAGACCAGAGTCCAGAAGGTGCTACCCAAGACGTTATTTATTTCTGATAGGTAAGGCGGAGTGGGTTTTACGTTTTTAGAGCTGAAGTGCCCCTCTCTCCCCCCTCTCTTGATATTTAAAATGAAATATGCGGAAGTGACGTCAATGGGCAATTATTTAGGGGAAGGGTGGGTGGGGATGATACCATTAATTTTTGTTACAAGTGGTAAGGCTATTTGAAGGCAATTAGAAAAATTTCAAAAATCTCATTGAGATAGGGTTAGTGTCCGTGATTATGTTTATGGGCAAATATAAACTTTGTATTATTCATTATCAGACAGTTGTGTCCAATTTTCCTTTACTGATCACGATTTTTTTTCTCTGCAGATATGGCTATGACAAATACTTTTTTTTCATTTAGGAGATATTCACATAAATCAAACTTAGTGAAAAAGTGTAAATAGAAGCGTGCGATCAGAAAAAAAAATGTATGTACGTTATAAAATTCTTTTGTAAATTGACTTGGGTACAACAAAGTGAATCATCGTTTTAATATAAGGACGCAGATAGTTTAACAATGACAACACGTGATTTATGGTCACTGGTTAGAAAACAATCGGATAACACCGTAGCGATAGATTTCAATCACTTATTAGGTAGACGCTGTGTGAAAAGGTATTGGTAAATACGTCATCTTTTTCATGCTCTTCAAATCTTCGTAGATTTCGTATTTCTTCTCCATGCGTGAAAGGGGTGAATAAATCCTATTTTTGTACAATTTATTTTTGGCTGTTATTTTCTTGCTTTAATATCAGGACTTCGTGTGCAGTACATTAAAATATCTTATAAGGTATGATCTCATGACCTCCTTTCCCCAGCCTCAGCATGAGAGCTCTCAACAACGGCTCAGCGTGACGGCTCTCAACAAGTTGTCGCCACAACGATGTGCGTTACGTGCCTTCTCCTCAGGCGCAAGCGAACGTGGACGACTAGTAACAAGCGTAATAGATTCAAGGCAAACTCTCCTAATTTGTCTTTCGCGTTCCATTGCATCGGCTTATAACTTTTATTTTCTTCCCGTTGTCAAATTCGTCTGCAAAGGTTGAAACAGTGCTAGTGAATTCCATCCCTAGCCAGTTTCTTGCAACTCCGATCAGAGCGTTTAAAAAATCACAGAGTTCAACAGTCTAAATCAAACTAAAGAAACCTATCAATTGTAACTTATAACAGTAAGCGTTATTTTTTCAAGCATGAAACGTCAGCCGAGTTTTCATCCCCTCTCACGCCGTCGACTACTGTGCTGCTGTTTTCCGCGCTCCCACCAAATACCTCATTGAGACATCTCCATTTAGAGGGGACGATGAAAAATTGGTCCAAAGCTGGAGATGTTTGAAGCAGGATCACTTGCCATGGGTTTAAAAATGTGGGGGCTCCTCTGATTTGGAAGCAAATGGGCTACTGATGGGGTGTCACCAGGTTGTTCGGCTACACCCTACTGGAATGAAAAAAGTATTTGTCTCGCGCTATTGTTATTACACCCGCTCAAGGCCAGATGTGCACCCAGCGGGGTGCTTTTTGGAACAAGAGGACTCTTAAGTCATTGTATTTAACAATAAAGCAACTTATGGGAAAATTAATAACGGAGCTAATGGGCAAATGAGCTGTGAAGCGACCCGGCTTGTAAGCGGACAGAACGAGAAATGCAGCCATTAGACAGCAAGTTTTGACATATTGTTTTTAGACACGATTCAAGGGATATTGGTATAACTTGTGGCCGATTTGTGATTTTGAACATTAGTGGCTGTTTTGTGATTTTGGACAGTAGTGGCCGATTTGTGATTTTGGACTGTAGTGGCCGATTTGTGATTTTGGACTGTAGTGGCCGATTTGTGATTTTGGACAGTAGTGGCCGATTTGTGATTTTGGACTGTAGAGGCCGATTTTTAATTTTAGTGGCCGGTTTGTGATTTCGGGCATTAGTGGCCAATTTTGATTTTGGATTAGAGTGTTTGGACAGTAGTGGCCGATTTGTGATTAAGGTGTTTCTTTATTTTGTATCTCTGTTACGACGTAAGAAATTTGAAGCATGAAGCCTGTATCGAGCCAGCCACAATTATTGGACACCCTGTATCAAACGGACGGTAGCTTGCGATCACACAATCTTCTGTCGGGAGAGCCTGATAAAGTAGCAGTAACCGACTCTTACGCTGCTTCACTGCCGTGATTCTCTAATACAAAGATTACCTGATCGCAGGTGAAGTGGACACTGGCACCAAAGTTATGCGTATTTGTTGACTGAAACCTTTATCAGATGGACAGGTCAATGGAAAATTCGAGTTTCATTTTTATCCGATTAAAGTTTATGAGATTAAATATTCTCTACTTTAAGACGTTTATTCTGGTAATTAACTGATATTCTATCCACCCCAAACATCCAGAATCGAAAGGTCCTCCCTTTTCTCTCTTGGGGTTTCACAGTAAATAACTAGTACTAAATCCTGCAGGTGAACGCTTGAAAGAGGTCTCGACATAGAGTCGGTCGTTTGTAAGGGGAGAGTTACGCCAAAGAGAGATTGATTCAACGAGGACAGATATGGCTTAGTACATGGAAGATTAAGGAGGACGGTGAGTGATAAAATTCAGTTATTTAGGGTAAACTTATTACAATATGCTAACCGAGAAGTAAGTCCCTATTGAATTTTTAAGAGTTCTTGCTTATCCAGAAAACTAACATGACTGACACAAAAGCTAAAAACATCTTCGAACGTCATTGTTCACGTTTTATTGATATTTTCTAGATGTGTTAACGACATTTAAACAAAAATAGCAATTACTTATATTGGCTGGTTGAGTTTTGTGCCAATTGATGAACCTCAGTGATTTGATATATCACGCACCAATCCTTGGATATGTTTGAATGAAACTGAGTAGGATTTGCTATTCGATGGTAACTAGAAAAACCTTGTGTGTGAAGTTTTACATGTAATCTGTTCCAAAAGTGGTCTTAAATCAAGAAGGAAAAATTGTCAACCAAAAAACGGAAAAAATAGCCAATATATTGGCTTGACAAGGAATCGCACGGAACCTCTTTGAGCTCTGACGTCATGCTTTGTGACGTCCTTACACTTCCTCCATTAAGGAGGATCTTTCCTTCTGACCGCAAAACTGCCTCCTCGTCTCAAAAGTTTATACCTTTTTTTAAAGATTTTGTTTCGTCGTTCATTTTAATTCCTAAAGGTACACGAAACTGAAAAAATAGAAAATGAAAAATGACCTCATAATTCTGAAACTGAAGTCCGTAGCATGTGATGGATTCGATCCAAGGAGATTTTCCCTTTCTATCATTTGTGACTGTAAACTCTGGCGCTATTCACTTTCGGTTGATGACAATAAATTACTGATCTTGAATTAGTAAAATGACGTAATAGTTAACATAAATAATTCCCTGGTGTCAGAATTGTATTTTTGGCAAGACTTCAATCCGTAATCAGGCGTCTTCGTCAATTGTTATGCAACCAGACAATAGAAATGTAGGTATAGTGCTATAAGGATCCTTTAAGATTGCTTCACATGGAAATTCCCAATCTGAAAAGAAAAAAGAAAACCCAAAGAAATTAAATAACTCGAGAAATACTAAGGTGTACCACCAAAGGTAACTAGTTGTTACACTGTAGTAAAATTACAAAATCATGTCAACTGCAAAAGACATAATTAAAAACTGCCCATCGAGAGGTTATGTTTCTGAAATCGTACTGTCATTTCCGTTTGCTTCATTTCCGGTTTGCCTTCGAAATACCCATTGTTTCCGGTTGAAAGAACGCGATGATCTGTTCTTCTTCAGACTGTCGAGCGTAAGACTGGTCCTTCAAGACCTTCGAAGAGAATGATCTCTCGGGTAACGAACTGAACAGCTAACTATGCATGTTTAATAAGTCTTGTTATGACTATGTAAGTTGACAGTTTATAAAGGGCTGTGATACCGCAGAGCAGAGAGGAGAAAAAGTTTCCTGTGGAAGCTTCAGCGTTTTGAAATATTGTATCAGATAAGTTCTAATTTCGTCCTAGAGCTACTTTTGTTATCGACGATAGCAATGATCTCAATTGATCTATTTTTGTTGTCGACTATTCTTCGGAACGCCTAGCTCTAATGCTATTCAATTTAGGATATTATTCCAAACCTTTTAACGCCGTGAAACAACTGAATAAATTGTTTTGTGCCAATACAGTATCGTTACGCCAAACTATCGCATGACTATAAATAGATTGGTTGTGTGGTTCAAGTGCTTATTAGCTGGAATTTTTTCTGTTGATATTTCCCGTAGCCAATTTTCTCGAGGGAATTAATATGGTAGACGGTGCATGAAATCGGGAAGAAAAGAAAACATCGCTTAACCTCTCCTGTCATTAAGATTATTTAATATTCCCGCCTGTGGGAATTATTAAACAGTCTTGCCGAGGGTTCTGCTACGAACGCAGCTAGTTTATATTCACGCAAGCGTCGAAATGAACGTCGCGACGTGATTGTAAGTGCGGGATTGTGTAACTGCGTGGAAGTTAAGTCGAAGGATTAGATCTGAAACTCACCCTATTATGGTTTTTTGATCAAATTTTTAAGAGGGTTACCGGAAACCCAGACGACTGAACGATGATCACCGTGGCGCATGAAGAACGTGCTGTGACTGTAACTCCTCGAAACAGAGCTAACTTTCGAAGGCTCAAAACCAATAGCATACAGAGTTATAAACGATGGGAAAAAGAGAACGAACTTCTGTATGCCATGATGGAAGACGAGAGCGAATGGCTGGCAAAGTTATTTCCCGATGTTGTTATAAGTCCCGACTTTTTTTTCTACGCTTTGGAAGATGGTTCACTACTCTGTCGACTTGCGAACTACATCCAAGAGAAAGCGGAGACTTACTCTCGGGAGCGAAAAATCCCAGTACCAGGGAAAAAATTTCGTTATCACACAATGGGAAAATGCAACAAAGAAATCAAACTCTTTAAGTCAAGGGAGAATGTGCAACAGTTTCTAACGTGGTGCCGAAATCATGGTATTCCCGAAGCCATCCTGTTCGAATCGAACGACGTTGTCCAAGTAGACGATTACCGAGAGGGCTGCAGAGGTATCATAATTTGTCTCATGGAAATTGTCAGGAGGACAGCTAAGTTTGAACTCGACGAGCTTCCCCAGTTAATTCAAATGGAGAAAGAAATCGAAGAGGACGAGGCTATGAATGATACGGATGTATCGGACGAACAAGGGCAAATTTTGAACGTGGAGCAAATAAACATGAGTGAATTTGACAACCTTGAAGTACAACAGACAGATCAGCCAGAAATCCAAAGCCCTAGTTCTTTAGACTCGGATTCTGGAGTTGACTCTGTATTTGATCAAGAAGAGGGGGACAGCGCAGCGTCTCGTTTGACGGAGTTTTCTGTGGAAGAGGAAACAACGAAAGCCACAGCCGTGGTAGGCAAACAAACTTCATTGAAACCAAAAGATCGAAAAAGTTGTCCGAAAATTCAGAAAAAAACTGATGAACTTCCTTCTCTACTTGATAGCAAAGGACCAAAATCGGAGTTAGATAAACAGGTAAGCATCTATGCCTATTTCACGTTAATTTTCACGTAACAAAATTTTGAAGGACTCCTAATTAACTATTCCACGGAAGAAGAATTGACCCGAGGGTTTTCATTATGACAACTTCAAGAAAGTGTTTGCAAACATCCATTCAGGCGTTTACTTAGTAGGGGGTGCAATTCCGCCGCTATATACCAATTAATATGGTCATAATATTGCGACGAAATATTTTTTAAAGCAAGAAGTTGAAACAAAATTGAGTAGTTTTATCAATATCGTTTTCGATATGAATACTCGTCAATCCACGAATTATGCAAATATACTCTGTTTATGTTGATCGACTGAAGATAACGGTGCTCATATTACATTTCTACGCACGTTTCGTCTGAAAAGTACAGTTGTTAGATTCAGAGTTTAATCTACTTTTCTCAAGGATCTAGATTACAGCCGTAATAAGCTTGAAAACAAAACAGTTTGGTGTTGGATGAAATAATAGCTATTTAAAGTGATACTAAAATGGCTAGCATATACAATAAATTAATTTCACATTGAATATAATTTGGCTAAGCAAGGACATCTGTCTCCTCAGGGCAGCCAGCAGATGGCTTAATTTTATTAAACGGTAATTTTAAACGACTGATATGATCATCTGTGTCAAGAGTTTAGGTTTCTCTCCGTGAATTTGTTGACAACAAGACTTCTAGCGCCCGTGGAAACCAGTTAAATGCATTTTTAAATAGAATCTTCCGATTAGAAATCATTTGAAATGCAGCTGAGAGAAAAGATCACGCTAACTACGCATATCAAGTTTTTCCAAACAACGCGAAAATTTTGTTAGAGAAGGGTTTTGTAGAAGTGATATTACAGAAATTTAGATGCACGGTAGGTGGTTTTCTTTCTTAAGGAAAACAATAAACTATTTGCATAAGAATAGCCGAAACCATTTAATTTTTGGTCGCATACATTTGTTTAAGAGCAGCTTTGCATGTCTAGTAAATATTGTTTCTCCCGCCCGAAGAAAAGCCTTTGATCCGTAGAAGAATTAATTGAATATGACATTTAATGAAATGAATATAACGATTCTTGGATCACGAATAGAATAATCACCGCTATTTTCTAATGTTTCATAGGTGGGAATAAAAAGTTAATCCACAGCTTAATTTTAATACCTATTACTACATAACTATACAAATGTAGCACAGTGAGGTGTACCTTTACTTCTACACATAATTGACATCTTAGTATTTTTCTTTGATAAATCAATTCAAAGAGCACTCCTTGCTTGAATGAAATCACACCAAAATCAACTATTTTTTTGTTTATAATACTACATATACATGTATATTTCTAACACTGGGGTAAGGAGGGAGAGTTGATTCCTAAATTCTGAGAAAGTTGAACTTTTCAAAATTTCTTACAGTTTTTATGTGGAACATTTCTTAATTATGGACCCTGTCCTTTCTACACAATAACACAGGTGTGCAAGCTTGCTCAAGATTATGACATAAAAGTTGTTCACCGACTGAAGGAAGGAAAATACATTATTCTTGGAAGAATCATGTTTGTTCGTGTAAGTGGAGCTCAGTTTAACCCTTTGACTAGCATCTAATTTCTTTTTACATTATCACCCCAAAATCACACATTGAGGTCACAGGAATAAGAGAAATGATCCCCAACTAAAGAAGCTCTTGATTGTTAAACAAATTCTCCTTGTCAGCGCCTTAGGAAATGTACAGACAACAGCAAGGAGAATATGCATACTGATGTTAGGGTGTAAATGGGTAATGAAGTTTCCTTGATAGATGTGTGTTTCACAAAATAAATGGATCTAGAGAGGTATATGTCCAGGAAGTAGGGGGTGTAAATTAGGTTTAAAGTTTTTAATTAAAGGAGGGGAAAATCAGCCTTGTAATAACAGAAAATCTTATATACTGATTTTTAGTCTGGCCGGGCATGTGGGTTACTTTGCCATCTAGGTGAGGAATTGGGATCAGTGGAATATTGGGGAAGCTGATTATGGCTTATTTTGGTGTTTCTTTGTGTAGTGATGTACATGAAAAAAGTATATGTTTCTGATGGGCTGAAAATGAGTGCATTCTAATGTTATACGAGTGCAAAGTTGTAACATGAGTGCAAATTACAGTAAGAGCACACACGCTTTCAAAATTTCCTTTATCTTGACTTTCTGTGATGTTTTTTCATGTATGTTACTTACAGTTATAAAATGATTTCTCCTGCAATTTGTATATGTAATCACATGAGGCCAAGTACTATTAAGGATTAATTGCACGAGAGTTTTCAAAATTTTCCAAAATTGCCCGAGTTGCGAAGCGATGAGGGCAATTTGGAAAATTTTGAAAACTCAAGTGCAATTAATCCTTAATAGTACGATCTCATGGGATTACTTGTTTATCAATAAAGGGCAAAATTTATACGAAGGAAAATCACGCGCGCAGTCTATTTTTAACAAATTTCAAGATAACGAACGGTTGCTATGCAACGGATTAGCCAATCATTAACAGGTAATCATGCCCTCTCTTGATTACTAAAAATGCCCTCGATTAAGAAAAAATGCCCTCTCTCTCAACCAATCAGCGCTCAGTAATTTTGCCCTTTATTGATAAGGTGTAATAAGCACTTGTAAATTTTCAAAGACTACAAATTGCACTTGCCCTATGAGCTTATGCAATTTTGTTGTCTTTGAAAAACTTACTTATGCTTATTGACACCAAATTGCACTTGAAATGATGTTATTACCTATATTAACAAATGTTACTTTAGAAAAGGGTAATTAAGTATTATCAACTGAGTTATTGGTGTAAATTGGCCATTGTAAAGAGTTTCAAAGCTGACATCTTGAGCATTGGCCTTCATCAGAGCGAATGATGAAAGGCTAATGCTCAAAATGTCAGCCTTGAAACTCTTTACGGAGGCCAAGTTGCATATCAACTTGGTTAATGATACTTAATTACCCAGTGATATTCTCCCACTGATGCAGCACCACAGTTTATTTAGAATGGAGAGAGTAGGGTTGTAGTAGTTAAGGAATAATCCCTCCTGGTATGGTAAATTAGGGGTTATCATAGGTGCTGAGGGAGGGGAAGAAAAGATGTAGGAGAACACATGGGGAGGGAGGAAATTGTTGTATTCCTATTTCATGCTTTTTTTTGTTTATACCACACAACCCACCCAGTCAGTCAATTTTGGTGATAAGTAATTCCTAATTTATCATTTTTAAGGTCTTGTTATCATAAATTTAACTGTAGATGTTGAATGATCACATGTTGGTACGTATTGGTGGAGGATGGGATACTCTTGAACATTACTTAATGACTCATGTGCCTTCCAAGCAAGGTAAGGAAGCTTGATTATGATAATAATAACAAATAATCAAAAAGTTAAATTATTTCTAATTTTATCCTTGCTATTTTCTGATTTCAAAGCCATTTGTAAAATTTTTTAAGCTTTTGAAGTTTATATGTCGTTTGCTATTTTCCAAATACATGAAACTGAGTTTCACTCTTAACAAGGTGGGATAGTCGCAAATAAATTAACAGCTGACATGAGTTGTGACTGATTGAAAGGTAAATAATCTTAAAATCCATTTTTGGTGATCTTCCACATCAAGAAGCCAATGCCAAGAGAAGAATGGAAAATAGAAAAATAAATTTCTCCATTTGATACCTTTTATCTTGTGTTTGTTGCTCTGTTGCCTTTGATTTCGCCACATGCCAGAAAAGCTGCAAGCTTAGTAGGCTAGGAAACTTTTCTAATCACCTGCCTGAAAACTGATTGGCTACCTGGTAATGACTTATGAGCATGTGCCTTAATGCACACAATGACTGTAAAGCTTACTTACATAGATGGAGTATTTTTAAGTTTTAAAATATATTGAGTGACTTTACATTTGAAAAATATTGAAAGGTACAAGACTTGACTACAGGTTTAAATGAACACATTAAACTTCAATATGATGGAAGACATCTTGATGAAATGGACTGATATAATATCATGGTTGTCATAGCTAAGGGTAGAGGAGGTCCAGCATAGGTTAAAAAAAATCATGAAACTCTTGAGCAAATATTTGAAATGATGACGTTATTCTCTGGTAAAGAAAGTCTTAAGTCCAAGTGACTATCGACCTGCTAATTGAGGAACAAACACTAAATAAACAGTGAACTCATGAACAAAGTAAATCAAAAATTATATGACTCCCACATTTATTTAAGGCAAAAGAACCAACTCAGTTCAGGTATAGACTGAAAGGAATGAACATGGTAACATGCTATGGCAATTCGATGGTTCCTACTGAAAGCTTTCGAACATCATTAATTGTACCGAGACATGAATATAAGCCAAAGTTTAAAGCTTAAAAAAATAATTAGAGTGAGGTTATATTTTTAGCTCTTAGTCATTATTGTGAGTTTCTGGAAGATTCCTTGTCAGTTATATCATTCAACAGCAATGAATGAAGAATATCGATTGTACATATTATTGTTGTTTTCAAATCGTGCTCCAAATTTTCCTCAACTGTAGCTGTCGCTGCCATTCCCTTCAGGAATATAATTATTTTGAGGACATAAGATTGTACAGTACAGTACAAAGGTCTTGCATGGCTGACTCCTTTGTTACTTAATATTGGAGTTGACTTCGAATATTGCGTCAGTTGTTAGAGTCGATTGAAAAGTTTAAATGCAAATTCAAGAAAAAAATTTAAGAAAAAAACGCAATTTTATCTTTGACTCTTTCTCAGGGAGATTACAGGTGAGTTAAGGTAGGGTTACCAACCTTTAAGGCTTTCCGAGACTTAAAGCATCATCGCATTCCTCCTTTTGGATTCTGTCTTTGAGTTTGACGTTTTTTTCGTTGTCAAAAATATCAAAATACTTTGTGCAACATTATCAAGCGACGAAGTAGCTACGCGAGACATTCAAAATCTTGTCACTCTGACAGCACAGAACTAGCGACCCTCCGAGGCAAATATTGTGATTTGCATACCAGCTGATTCAATGAGTTCGTCCGCTCGAAATAAACATCACCCTGACAGCTTTTGTCATTCTCATGTTCTGATTGGCTGATATGCCGCACACACCCTCAAGTTGTCAATTTTTTTGTCTGACTCGCCCAAAGATTGCTTCGATTACTCCTGATCAATCATAAACTCGTTATTCATTCGCGAGTGTCGCGACAGCCACTGTGGAACTTTTTGGTGACTCACTCCTTCCTCACTTTTTGTCGCATCCTTCCCAACAAGTGTTTCCTGGTTAGATCGCATTTGAAGGTAAATTTGCTCTCGTTAAGATCTTGATGTTTTTATTCATGCATTGCGTCTCGTCTCATCAGATGCTTTGTGATCTTGGTTTTGTCTGAGCCATGATAAAAATATCTTGTATGTTAAAGGAAAATCGAGTCAAATCGTCAGAATTGTTTGATTGTGAGACGCACAGGCGCCAAAAGAGGGTCGATGTTAAAATTAAGAAAAAAATACACAAACTTGAAGTTTTGCGGTACTTCGTTGGCGAGAACATTACATCAGCATCCTAGGACGTACAATACCAACGCCATATGCAAGCACAAATCATCCGCGATCGGAATATCGGGCGTTTGATCGAGGCTTCTATCGAGTCATCTACAAAGTCCTCTGAAGCAAGCCGTCTGTGCATGTTCAAAACAGAAACTGAAAACTAGTTGATTGCATGTGTATGAAATCTGTTACGTTTAAATTTGCCTATTTATAAGAATTTGACAGTTCTCGCTGACAGACCACGCTGCCATGCCTAAAACTGAAAATACAAGGCGTGAAACTTTTAAATTCTCAGTCATCTCTCGTCGTTCGGATTTTTGAACTTCGAACACTTGATCAGTGTAACGAGTGCTAATTTATGTTTTTGCGAGCGCTTTCGTTGTTTTTTTGTTCTCGTTGTGTATATTACCATTTTAGTTTTGGAATGCCGCTAGCAATCCCTGACCAAGTCGCCAGCTAGGTTCAAAACAAATTCATGGCATGTTCATTTCTGTGTAAGTTTCGCTTTGACAAGCATGCGTTAGAGACGAGGAACCTTTGAGCAAAAAAAAAAATTGCGTGGTTATCACTATGTAGTTCGAAGTATTGTCACTTGGTTGGAATGATTACTTAACAATGTACTCTTATGTAGGAAACTATCCAATTTGAACAGTATTACTTTTGACGGAGTAAACGAAATTAATTAGATCTCTGAGCTGTCATACGCATGAATTGTACTGTGTTCAATATAAGACCAATTTGCGTGACAGAGTTTTTTACACATCTGATAACATTCTGTTGATAAAAAGATAGAATCAATTTGAACGAAAGTACACAAATTATGTTCTTGTCACAGTGATATTGACATCAATGTACTGCAATACGTACAGATTTTAAGGATCTATTTAAAGGTCATGTTTTTTCCCCCAAGCAAAATGTTTACTTGGGAAAATTTAGACTCAAGTTACCGATTGAAATTATCTCTCGACTGTGGGGTCAATAACGGGCAGTATTTACTGATTTCAATAAATGGCCACACCCTGACAGCTTTTTACAGATAGTGTTTCAAAGGAGGTCTCATGGTTAAGTCCCACTGTTGTGAATAGACAACTAATTTGCATTGGACCAGTTAAGACTTTTTCCACTGACATTCTTGGCACTGCTAATATTTAAATTAAAGGTTATTTCACAGACTGGTATATTTTCTGTTTAAGGTTTTCTTAGGACTGAGTTACAAAACATTTCAAGAAAATGAAAATAATGTGTAGGTTGAAATTTATGTGATGTTGAAAAAACAAATTTTTCCTGATTACTACCTCCACAAACCCACTAATCATTTATAACATGAAATCAGTTTACTGGCCTAAAGGCCCATCCTGCCCAAGTTTGGTTGATCTAGACTGCTTACATAATTTTTTTTTTCTTTTTCCCTAAGCAGTCACAGAATACTTTACTATTAAGTAACATATCCCTGGATGGTTAACAGAAATGGATTATTAATTGAGAAAAATATAATGAAAAGAAAAACACCACATTGTTTTATATTGTTTTTCTAGAAAAACTAGTGACAGAAAATTAAATTATTCACAAATATTTTCTTATAAGTTCCACACAGTCACCCTTGATTTTCTGCAATAAATTGAATGGTTCTTATTTCATAATATTGGACAACTATGAAAACCTCATGCTGAGTGAATCCCTAAGATGATTTTGTAATACATTGTTGAGAGCCCCCATTGCTTAAATGACCCCTTAACCCTTTTGCTTCCAAGATCTCATCAGTAATTCTCCTTACTATCTGCCACACAATTCTTATGGTGTTAGTTTGAAGAATTTGGTATTGGATCAACTTGTAGTTCCTTGACTGAGTTTTCTTCTTTCTTCTCCTCACTTGTCTGCTTGATATTGCATTGACACTGTAAGGAGAAATTCTCTCTTGGTCACCCATGGGGAGTAAAAGGGTTAATTATTGGGCTGTATATTTGTAACTGAGAATCTTATTTTGCTCATGAGTGGCTTAGACTTAACAACCCTTTGATTTCCATGAAAGATGGGATGACTCAGTTGTTAGTGTGCTGAAATATCAGTCAAAATATTGGGCTGAGTCATTGTGTTGTGTTGCTAGGTGAGGCACTATACTGTCACAGTACCTCTCTACACCTGTACCAAAATGGGTGCAGTCAAACCTCAATTATCCAGACTTGTGACAACTGGGCTTAATACTCTGGATAATCAAGAGTCCAGATAAACAAAAATATGTATACAAATGTTTTTAGATAATAGGACCAGAGAGGCAAGTTCAGGTAATCAAAAAATCTGGATAATGGAGGTCAGGTTAATCAAGGTTTGACTGTACCAACAAGCTGTAGGGGAAGCTTAATGACATGGGAGTAGGGGGTGGGTAACCCTGCAATGCACTTGAACCTATGTAACGAGTGGAGTTGAAATTCTCCCAATTGTTTCTGGTGACAGAGACTGAGTTAAACCTTGGCAGGCCTTTTGGTTCTACTCTGACGTCACCTTTATAACAGTTGGTTAGTTAATTGAGATAGCTTCTCAGGAAAAATTGTGTAATTGTAAGGTTCATTTTAATTTTCAGTTTCTTGAAATGATTTGTATATTAGTCCTAAAAATATTTTTTTATTGTTTAAAGGAATAAACCTAATTGAAATGTCTCTGTAATGATTAGCATTTAAGTATCTTTCCATTCTAAGGGACCACTGACATAGTATATAAGGAAAAGAGTTGAATAACGTCTGGATTGGGTTTGAGTTTCACCCAATTATGAAATCTTGGGATATCTTCAGATCTTGGATGATTTGCATGTTTGCAAATTATGTGTATTAAGATTATAACCTTTAGTTCTCTTTTTTTATCGTGTAAGTTAGTTTGGTAAGAGGTTTTGTTTGTATTACTTTGTAAATTGCCTCAATTCGACATTCTTAATCTTTTCTACAAATTTGTTTTGTTTCTCTTGTTTGTGGAAGGTTACAGGATTTTATTGAGTGCTGCATAGGGCTAATTTGTATTTAATTTGTGTGTATTTGTTAAAAACCGTCTGCCTAATTATTTATCATAAATTGTACAGAGCAGAATTCAGCGCCTTGTTTTCTATTGTTCTTCATTGCTTGTATTTCGGTGGCTGACGGCTTAGAAATACATTTGAATGCGTCCGTAGAAAAACTATTTAGAAATTCAAAACCGCGATTAAAATTAATGAAGGAGGTAACTGAATGGATATTGGAGGCGTTTTAAATCTAAATTTAATGCTAAGGTCAATTTTGGTGAACAAAGTTTAGGTCAACTGTATAATGGAACAATCTCCGTTATATATATAAAAAACTTTAAGGTTTGGCAGGCTGGGTTTTTTTCGGTAGCTTTGGTTCAAAAAGAATGTGTCACTGAGGTATAACGAGTGGCTCTATTTTGTCTCTGGTAATCGGGTTGTTATATTTTTACATAATTTTAATGAAAATAACATGTTTTTCGTGCATTTTAATAAAAATGAACGTTCCCTCCCCTTTTTTATCGCCGTGTTTTGTCTGTTTTACAATGTTAGTGCATGATCTGTTTTACACCATTCTGATGACTCCTACAAAGGTACCTTTACGTGATTCATATCAGAAGCTGGAGGCTTTAGATGCAAACCACCGTTAATTTAAATATGATTGCGTGTTGTCGGCAACTGTAGCTTAATTCTCACTGCATGATATTTTGTTTATAGTCGCGATTTCTGGTTTGTGTCATTGAATAGAAAGGCATTCCAAAAGGGATACGCCATGTGGTTTTATTGACTCCATCCCGGATAGAGTGTAAATTTGTCGGCGGTTTCATTTGGGTGGAAGACAGCTGATAGTAGCCTCTTCCTCTAGCTAATTGGTTTGACAATCACGAATATACATTTATTAAAAATACCGTTTGTGTTTTACAGCTCTTGAGAACTCTAGTGCTACACCAAGTTCTCAGTCTCCTACCAGTCCACGAAATTCCATATCGACAGGAACTGGATGCAGAAAGAGTTTGTTCGACAAGGTTAAGAGGAAAGAACAAATTGGAGTTATCAGTAGAGGTAAATAACTTCCATAAGGTACCCCTCAAACGAGCCGCAAGCATATTCCAGTATTGTCTTATACCATGTTTGAAAAATGTACATATCTGATGTAAAAAGGCTTTTTGTCTGTATGTATTAATATTTAATTTTTTCCGTCTCCAGACTCGCCAGTTTATTCCTCGCAAGGAAGCTTGAGTCATCCTTTGGCGTCTCAGTCGACACCAAATCTAAGAGAAAAGTCAAAAAAGTTGTCTGTTGTCGAAAGTGACAAGAAGGACATCACCGACGCCATTCGAAAGATCGAGTCATCCGTGTCACAGAACTTAGCTTCAAGGCCCGTTAGTTTCACAAGCAAGACTTTTCATCAACTGAAAAGTCGTTTTGACAAGGGAATCTTTGGATCCAGCAGGCGAACTTCATCTCCCGATCTTTCGGTAAAAGGAAAGAGGATATTGAGGCGTTTGAGCGACACTTCTGCAATGGCGGACATAGCAACCACGCTTTCTTTCGACAGGATGAACGAAGACCAACAGCAAATTACCAGTGCTAATAATAATGATGCAGATCTGAAACAACCGGAGTCCGGCGATGAAGCGTTCCCAGGGAAAACAACGGCGCCAAGAGAAGACTTACTCGGGAACGAAACTCAACAGAGCAACGTTATGCCACCCGAACAAATTGCCATGGACGAGACCGACAGCTCAGAATCGCGAGGAGATCTACCTTCCACGGATCACGCAAACGATTCTAATTGGACTGGAGATTTGATAGGTGGTCCAGTAAACGGGAGCGAAAACTTACAACATGATGATCAGGGGAAGACTTCAGTTGATGTTTCGTCGTTTGATCCTCTCGCACCGACAGGTGAGCAGGACCAACTAATTTCGACAGAAAATGTACCTTCGGAAGTAATCGAAGAGAGGCCAAAGGCTGCGGACGATGTTGAAGACGATTCTGTGGTTGGCAATGGTCACCTTGAATTAGAAAGTGTTCCTGGGATTGTACACGAAACAGCAGAAATGCACGACGAGCTAATCACGATGGAAGCAGATGATAGCGCGCTGGAATTAACACCCCGGATTGACCTAGGTGATTTGTTAGCGGACTCCCAACCAGTAGAACAAGTCACACCGGAGTCGCAGGAATCCGCAGTAGAGTCTTCACCTCCGTTTGAGCTAGGAGATCCCCGAGTGGACACAAAATCAATGGAAGCCGAGAAGGAAGGAGATTTTGTCGAGCCCTCGCCTACGGAGTACCAGATTTCTGAAGTTGAGGCCACGAATCCTTTTGAAGAAGTCACATCTGATAACCAGTTCGAAGGGAAGGACGTCCAAGATGTCCCCTCTATTGAAATAGATCCTGTTGAGGAATCTCCTAACCGGGAAGAAGCTACTCAGTTTGAAGAGCCAGCGCGTAACCAGGAATCTGCGGTCAATTCGGAAGGAGAGATTACCACTCCTGTGTTGGACGAAATCACCTCTGAAGAGCAGAGTCAGAAAGTAGTCGAGTTTTCTTATTTAAAGGAGGATGAAAGTATGGAGGAAACTTCGAATTCCAAGAACGAAGTAAGCTTTTCAGAAGAAGAAGCCAAACCTGCAGAACTTGAAGCCACGCCTATGATGGAAGAAGCTAAGTCTGTAGAGGCAGAAGGGGAAGAAGCTAAGATTGCTTTGGAAGACGTTCATTCCGTAGAGGAGGAATCGACGCCCACGAGCGAAGAAGTAACGCCTGTAGAAGTCGAAGCCAAGGTTACAGAAGAAGAAGTCAAGTCTCTAGAGAAAGGATTGAAGCCATTAGAGATAGAGGCTAGGCCCGCAGATGTAGAAATGAAGACTGCAGAGGAAGAGGACCAACCTTCAGAGGAAGAAGTAAAACCTGTCCAGAAAGAAGCCAAACCTGCAGAAGTCTATGCTTTTATGTTTACCGACGAAGGAGTCGCGCCTGTAGAGGAAGAAACTAAGTCTACAGAGGAAGAAGTGAAGTCTTTAGAGGAAGGGTTAAAGGCCTTAGAGATAGAGACCATGCCCGCGGAGATACGAATAAAGACGAAAGAGGAAGAAGGAAAGGGTGAAGTGGAAGATGTTCGTTCCATAGAGGATGAAGTCAAACCTGTTGAGAAAGAAGCCAAGCCAGTAAATATCTATGCTTTAATACCTACCGACGAAGGAGTCACGCCTGTGGAGGAAGAAGTCAAACCTTCAGAGGAAGAAGTCAAACCTTCAGAGGAAGAAGTCAAACCTTCAGAGGAAGAGGTCAAACCTTCAGAGGAAGAAGTCAAACCTTCAGAGGAAGAAGTCAAACCAGTTGAGAAAGAAGCCAAGCCTGCAAAAATCCATGCTTTACCAACAGAAAAGAAGACGGGAAATATTACAAAAACAAAGCCCCAATCAGCTGGTTTAAAATCAGCCAAGTCTCCCACCAAAGCAACTCCATCAACAGGGCCAGCTGCAGCGAAAAAACAGCCAGGAGCCACAAAGCCTTTAAATGCAACATCTAAAAAAGATGTCAAAGCTCCAGCTACAAAAGTGCCAGCATCCAAGCCTTCTGTTGCTACCAAGGCGCCGGCGGCGAAGTCAACAGCCACCTCCCCAGGCACAAAGAAACCCGCTGGTAAAACGGCAGCATCTAAGGTAGATGAAACGAAGAAACCAGAGAGACCCAAAAGTGCTGCTACAGCTCGTTCACCGACAAAGTCTAGCGTCACTAGCACCACTCGACCTGTTAGTGCGGTGTCTAAGAAAGTTCCAGCTTCCACCACAAAACCACCTGCCCGCAAGACCCCTGGTGTAGATTCCACTGACTCCGGAACACCGAAAAGTGCACCAAAAACTAGTGCTGGTAGGCCAGCATCTTCCAAACTAACACAAGTTAGAACGAGTTCGCCTGCAACGAAGCCCACGGCCACAAAGCCAAGCCGACCTCAGAGTGCAAAGCCTAGCGACAAACCAGACGGTGCAACCAAGACGCCTACCTCGCGACCACAGAGTGCAAAACCAAAGACGACCACTACGACTACAACTACTGTGAAAAAGACAACTACCACCACTAAGACCGGCATTGCCCCTATGAAAACTACTACCACAAAAACTGTGAAAGAAGTTAAGAACGGCCCGGTCAAAACTTCCACTACAACCACTAGACCTACAAAACCTTCTTCGACACCCAAAACTGCTGCCAAGCCCACGACGACCAACTTAAAATCAAAGCCTGGTGTGAAAACCAGTACAGCAGGTGCAAAACCGTCCACAAAAGCTCCGCCCATGAAGAAAGAAGACGAGGCAAAAGACAAACAGAAACAGATAAAACTGGATGAACCCGAATCCAAGGAGGAAAAAATAGTCGAGCTTGTTGCTACCGAAAAACAAAAGCCCCCTGAAATTGTCGAAGCTGTTTCAGAGGAGAGACCTATAGAAGGAAGTCCCGAAGAGAAATTGATTGAATTGACACCTGTTTCAGCCTACGAACAAGCTCCCCAGTCGGTCGAAGTCTCTTCGAAGGGCGTCGTCACACAGATCGTCTCGAGCCAAACGACGACTGTTGTTGAAGATGGCGAAGAACAAACGACCACTACAACAACAGAAGAAACTGCCTTTGAACAGTTCGAGGGAGAAAGTTAAGGCTGTTAAGTACTTAGAACTGTGGAGGCGAGGAAATTCTAATTTTGTGAGGCCTTCATAGTTCCAGTCATGACAGAAAAAGGTCGAATCAGTCACATAAAAGGAACCAAGAACATTTGAATGAGACCCCAGAAAGAACTAACTGATCTTACGCTGTATTTTCCTTGTTAAAACCATAAGAAGAGGTGTGAAGAAAACAATAATTTAATTTAAAAGAGAATGTTCAAATTCAAAAGCAGCGTAAATTTTCTCAAGATCGAATCGTCGTTTTCTTTTGTAATTTTGAAACTTTCACAGTCTCTTTAGTTATGTCTTCGGAATCATGGGAATTTCTAATGTTTGAAACTCTTCTGATGGTTGTCCTGTGGTCATGTAATTTTATTAAGACGCGTTGTGTGAAAATTAAGGGGGTTTACTTTGTTCACAAAGGCAAACCTGACTAGTCTTAAGAGAGAAAAGTATCTAGAATTGTCTGTATTTATACCAAGATTTGCACAGCCTTTTCAAACGTGCCGTCTAGGTTCAACTTCTAAAGATTTTCACACAGAACATGTATTATAAGATGTTATGTGACATTTTCATAATCAGGGTGTTGTTGAAGAGTGTCCACTATTAGTCTTTCTGTGTGGGTGTTTTATTATCACAGTGTTCATCAATCGAATTGCAACTATTTAAGAAAATTAACATTTTCCAAATCGATTTAACTGAGACACTGGGTGACACACCGGTTATGTAAGAGAGCTTCAAAAACTGATAGGCTTGTGACAACAAGTGACATAAAAATAGGGAAATAATGTATTTTGTGTTTTTGTAAATATAGAGAAAAGAAAAGATTTCGTAACGTGAATCAGAGAAATAAAGACTTAATTTAAACAGCTACCTGTTAGTCTCTTGCAGTTTTGTTCAATCAAAGAAGACTGGTAGAGGGGAGAAAAGGAAGAATTTCCAAGATGGCATCCTAAATTAGCGTGTCTTTAGT